CGACTTTTGACCTTCAAAGTAATTAAATGCAAGGCGACAGTTCTTATTATCCTAGTGATTATCAATGTCACGCAACGTAACGCCATTGGAAACGTGTCGGGGGTGCTGAAACATACCCGCGTAGAAACCGCAAATGAAATAATGATGTCGTTAAATTATAGAAAGAAATCCCGCATTTCAAAATGAGCGGAGAGAAATATAGGTTAAACACTCTCACGTCTGTCAGTTTGCATGTGTCGGCTACCAGATGAGTAAACTTCATTACCGATGTGAAGACCATAAAAGGAAAGTGAGGGTCAATATTGGCATGATTAAAAGAAAAACGAAAGAACCTCTAATTACTCTACGAGCTTTAAAAATGAGATAACTAGTAACTGACGATTAGGAACGAGTCACCGTTAATTCGTTTCTTCCTCACTTTTCTATTCTGCTAAACTAAAGAGAAATTCAGCATCACGATGACTTTTGGCAAGTACATTTGCTGACAATCTCTTTCAGTAGAGCCAAGTACGGGGCCTTTTTACGCATGGGCTTTGATGGTATATCGAGGCCAAGGTCTTCACACATGTGCTGTAGCATGGGTAGCTTCAAGATCTTCAAAGAGTCATTTAGCGCCATTTCACAAAGATCGTACTGATCGTAGATCAGGGAATGGTCAAGTTGTATTGACGCGACAGTCTCCTTTGCTTCGCTAAAATTACTCTCCTCTTGAGCTGCTCGGATATCAGCCTCATCAGGATCTCTCTGGCGTACTAAGGCACTCTGAGGTGATCTGGGTGGTTGTGAGGAATTCCGATGACTGGAATAGTCGTGCACCATAGGTGCCCTGGGCACGCCGCATTTCTCGAGCAACTACCTCTGCGTCAAGCTTGTGGCCTGTGGTCTGCCCTATTCGAAATTTAGATAACAGGTACGACTTTTGCTTTTCACTGAACCTGTAAGCCTTCCTTACTACTCTAAGAGCCCATCCTTCTTTCAGAGAAACACGAGAATCTTCCTGTCGTACAGGGGCTTGAAGCGATGGCAGCTTTCCCACACCTTCCTCCAAGTATGATTTGTAGCCAATTTTTGCCAAGTCCATTAAAGAATGTTTTTCTGGTACCCTGGTACATTTTTCAAGTGACAAGTGCCTTTCTTAGGCTGAAAGCCTTTGAAAAACACGAGTGCAGCCGTCTTGAGGACATGAATATACCCCTGCTGCCTGGCCACGTTCTATGGAAGCTATCTCTTCAGCCACATTTTCTTCCCCTGACGATTTGTGGGGGGTACTTTTATAGGAAAGGAAATCTCCTGCAGAAACTGATGGCTGCAGAATCCCTTGTCCAGGACCTTCAAAAAAAATAAGAGAAATATAAATATGATAGCCACACAGCTAAGAAATAATTATCTTTCATCAACGTGTAACCCTCGAAGGCAGCCCACGACAGAATACCGTGTAAGGGGGGTTTTAAATACTCACCCCTTTTTCTTGTGTTTTGTTTGTTTGAGCAGCGTTTTGTAAACATTTAACCTCTTATGGAAAGTCTTTTATGATGCATTGCGGATAAAATTTTTCCCTTATTAAGAGAAACCTTACAGAAAAGACTATCATAAACTAACAGGAAGGCCTGGGCTCATTCAAGAATCATTAACTCACCAGAAGAGGATTTTTCTATTTTGATCACTTTCCCTTGCCCGACGGAATATGCGCGCCAACAGGAAATAGAGCCCATTGAACTAAACTCAAATTTGTTCAACTTGGTGATTCCTGTAATGGTTTGCGCATCGTCTGGCGTTTCTTCGATGGTATCCAGAGAAACCACTCGTACACCTTCCAAACCGCCATGGGATAGCAGAGCTTCTTTCAGGTCGCTGGCGGTGCAGACATCATGGCCTTCATTAATAAACGCCCTAATGTGGCTTTTACAGCTCGCAGCTAGTCGATCTGCAGCCCCTTTCCCGCCTTGAGGGTCGCTGAAATCAACGCGGACTATCTTCACTCCAGTGTTCGCTGAAATTTCTTGGCACTTCGTTAACGTGCGGAAGGAGAGGTAACAGCCGGCTTTATCTTGCCTGAAGTAGGCCTTGTTGATTTCAGGATACTCTTGCTTCAATGTGGCTAGGACATGTTGCATAATCGCGGTAACAGCAGAACTTCTTTGGGTACAGGACTGAATCACATGGATAAAGGCTTGCCACTGTAGCACACCCTCTATCCGTCTGTATACTACAGATATGTGCCAAGAAATACCCCGCTTACCAAAGCAGTCTGTCTGTGACTCGCGGTATCTCTGAGGCAAGAACTTCATGGCCCAGTCATTTACAATGAATACTGTTCCAGAATTAAGGGCATCGATGACGTCCAAACGAGCCTGATCTTGATGGGTCGACCTCAGCAAATGGCACTTCCATGACTGGATGGCAAGTGTAGCAGAGCTAACGAGAAACAAAGCTTCGTCTTTGTCTTCTTCTGTGGTAAAAGATGCTTCATCGACCGCAGTAGATATGTCGTTCAGGGTCGAATGCAAGCTTTCACATTGGTCACAGAGCTCGTCATGGTTGTGTTTGCATTGCTGCCGCAGGTCAGAATCTTCGGAGTCACTCAGAGCAAATACACTGCAATGACTTGCAACGGGAAAAGAAGAGCTCACGTGAACCTGAGGGAAAATAGGAAACACAGCTTGACACAAAGCATGGATGACCATGTTACTGCAACATTAACGGCAAAAAATATATGCAATATGCATGCTTCATGTTATCTAAATCGAATAACCTCAATAATCTAGATAAAGTAGATAAAATCTATAGAGTAGATAAAATCTATTACAAGCATAATTTATACTGATAAAAAACGAATACCAAGAGCAAAAACCGACGTATATTTCCCGGTCAGGGTGGATCTGTCATCGGAACGGTTTTTTTCGTGCTATACTTCCATCCATTTGTGAAATAAGATCACCCTGCTTGAAAAACATAATCCAATTTTTTTGGAACTCTTGACACTTTCGGTTGTTTACCTTGAAATCACCCTTCAGGTAGAATTTGGCCACCTTCAATGATTTCACGTATCGCACTTGCCACTCCTTTCAAAGACCAAGCTCCCCCATTTGAAGAACCAAGCCTTCTAGTCCATCGAACGCACGGGCCCCGTCTGCTGCGAAATAGTCAAGGCCTTGGAGAGACTTTCTGGTCGAGGACTTGCATTCATTTAGAACACGCAGCATCGTCCGCTCGCTGAACGCCTCAAATCCAGTCTCTTTGTAGTACTGGGTATACTGACGCACTATCCTTTGCGGAAGGAAGTTTGATACCATGGTCCTAGTTAAACGCCCCAGAGCCGGCCTGTCACGAGTCTCCTTTCGCTCAGTCAGTGAAGCACTTGAATTAAGTACAATCGGGAGGTTGTACGTTTGACTCCTATTAGGACAGTTTACCTGTGCCATTAGGTAATCACATGATTTCGAGTGCAATTTGGAATAAATAAGCGGTGGCGAAAGAAAACCTACTTAAAACGCCGGCCATTGTTTCGCTCGCAAATGTTCAAATTTTCAAATTTTGTTGCGACATCCAAGGCTCGCATTTGATTAGCTATCTGTGAGTTTCTTTGATTATTGACCAATCAGAATGTCTGATTTGTTACTTTCTTTGCACTGAATTAACTCTCTTCTGTACTGAATTACCTGAAAACTGCATTTATCTTAACCAATCAGAACTGAGTAATTTTTCCATGTAAATTATTAGATGGTGAAAAAAAAATTGAAGAGTCAGTTTGGAACATAAGAGATAAATCTCTCTTGGAAAAACCATGTGAACTGTGTCATCACAAAAATAGGTAAGACCATAGCTATGATTGCTGAGCTGAGATACTTTGTTCCATCATCTGTACTCATAAACATTAATAAATCCTTAATTTTACTTTATTTTACTCATGGACTCGTTGCTTGAGGTAATGCGTCTAAAAACTATATACACAAAATTATTGTTCTCCAAAAGCGAGTATATATTACGTCCAATCTACTTCGTTGATAGAAAAGAACATGCAATCCCCTTATTTGTAAATGAAAAAATTCTGCCTGTTACCTTCTTATATTATGAAGCTGTATGTAAATTAATGCTCGATATTCATAACGACAGTGCACCTTCTAACATCATGAAACGTTTAACGAGAACTTCAAACATCCATACATATATTACTCGTTCATCAACGTCACAACTCTTTAGTGTTAAGTACTCCAAGCTTAAAATGCAAAGAAAGGCCTTTTCGCGTGTTGGTGTCGAAGTCTGGAATGAGATACCTAATGAATATAAAAATTTGTCAAAGAAATCCTTCAAGAAATAAAGAAAAAGAGCTCTAACTTCTCAATATTCTAGAAACTGAAGATTCTTAAATGGTGCCTGATGAGATAATGCTAAAATTCAAACACAGCAAAATTGAATCAGCTCTACAATATATGTTTCGTATCACTGCGGACAATGACATGAAATTATTGATGCTTCAGCCGTAAATAAAACCTAAAATAAAATCGCAACTTTAACCATCGAATATTCATTGCTACATACTTTTAAAAACCAAAGCGTGACCGCACCTATGGCAAGATCGAGACGAAAAGGAAAATACCCCTATATTGTTAACACATCGAGGGTTTCCGGGAAAAATCCCATGGATTGTGAACATGTCTACACTTGACTGGCCATGAAAAGAAGTGTGTTCTCAAAATAGCTCTCTGACGATATTGCTTTCACAGCTTCTCGCTGATAAACTGCGAAGCTAAGACGGATGCCACGATTTCTTAAGAGGAAATGAAAGAATAGCTGAGAGAGATAAGAAGCCGACTGCATACTTGTTCCCAGTGCCGCTCGTTTTTTCGTATACGGCGGGACTAAGAAGAGGGAGTGAATCGTATGCATTTACATTTGCGGCGCGACCCTTTACGCCCGCGCAACTTTAAAGGAACAATAAAGCCAGTCGTGTTAGTAATTAAGAATCAGAGTTCTCCATAACTTTGTGACAATATTTTATTACGTTAAAAATAACTTCCAAATATTATTAGTTATCATTTAAACTTCTATTTGATACGATCACATCAGCCAAAACTTTAACTTACAGATTTGAAATAGAGGACAATTACAAGAACGTATGAGGAAAGCAGGTTTAACTTTGCTTGAATATTGGCCCTTGTTAAGAGATTAGAGTATCCGGCGCTCACTAGAAGACTTTCTTTGAACATTAAGAACATATCCACGGCGTCAATGAATTACAGTCAGAGATATGGTCCAACTGATCAATATCGTTATTTCCTCAACTGCATAGGGCTTTGTTTTCCCCTTTCTGGATATAGGCAAACTGAAGACGAAAGAAGTGATATAATATTAAAAAAGGGGGCAACCAAAAGGTTTTATAATACTAAAGTATCTAAAACGGTGCAAGCCAAGAGGAAAGCAACTAAGTACGATTTGAAAAGAGTTAGTAAATATATCGTTGCTGATTGTTGCACCTTTCACACTGGCAATTTTCACTCTTCCATTTTTCAATTTCCTCTTTTGCATCCGGCTTTGATCCAATTTGGTCTACTTTGACCATAGGGTCCTCTATGATTACATTCCAACAGTCCTTCGGAACAGCTTGGGTTGGATTCGATTATGAATGTAACTTTACAACTTTCGTTACGTTGAATATGTTTGTATATTATCAGGAGGACTTTCATGTTGATCACTTCTGGGAGTTAAATGGTCAACCTTGTGCTTGTCAATATATGACAAAAACCAACACAGAAGAGGGTATCATAACTTTCTCCTCATTGCCAGTACTCGCAACAATCTGGGTAAAGCAACCGCATGTAACAGGGACTTGTATGAGACTGTTTGGTGTGGGTCTTAGGTTTCTAAACAGGAGTCTTCGCATCTTGGGAGTCTAGGATTTTACCATTGACACCCCTACATAAACTATTTAAGAAAAACAACATTCAAGCAAACCTCAAACAGCCTCAGTGATTCCTCTATTGGTCTGTCCCGCCAGGGGCTGGGTGGGGGATTGTGGCCTTTGATTTCTTCATACTGCTGGTGACAGACATATGCTTGTCCCCTAAATCATCACAAAGTTGATGAGGAAAAAAAAAAAAAAAAAAAAAAAAAAAGGAAATTTGTCATTACTCTGACTAGCAGATCTTTTGCTATAGATGCACATCAATGTGATGAATGTTTACCTTTTGATGAGCTCTACAGCAAAATCATACAATTTTCCAAATTGTCTGAAGCATGGGTTATCTTCCATGGTTCAAAACCGGAAAAAAAAAACCCAAAAAAAACAAATGAAAGTGGGATGACAAAGTCTGGTGGAGAAGCTACACACAATTCAATTTTGGTTTAGTTAGGAAGGAGAACAATAAAGAGATAATAATTTGTTAGCATGTGCACTATCATGGGACTGGTCAATTTAGTTTAGGCTGTATCTCATGGTGCACCCTGCTAAATTCAAAAGTTTGTTTGAATTGAAATCTTCCCTCTCTATTTGAATCCAGAAATAAAATAAATATCTTCCTAATCTCATTTTCTTAATTTGTACAGTAAGTTATGGACGCTTGTTTTTTTTCCAAGAGGGTACATGTCCCACATACTTTCCCATTGGCCCATAAAACCCAACAGAAAAAACTTAATCTGTAACTTACAGCACAGACCTTGAACTTGGTTAGTAAAAGGCATCAATAGCCCACGAAGAATCAAATGTGGCTAATGACTGAGATGATCAAACAGGGATTGCAAATGAATCCTCTTGGAAATTTGTGAATCAACCCTTTAGATGCTGCCATCAGTATGCATGTTCTCTATACTTTTCTCTATACATTTCATAAGATGCTGACTGGGAGAATTTAATATTTAACAATCAAAAACTTCTTTAGTTCATGTTCATTTCCTTTATTCTTGTCACCTTAAAGTGTGATATATTGCTACATGTCCTCCCTCTTAGGGATCAAAGGATTAATTTTTGACAATGGGCATAAATTCTTTATCCACAGTTCAAATATATGACCTTCATATATTCACATTCATAAATTCTTTGATGACAGTTAAAACTTCTTAAACTCGACAAGAGGAAAACTAAGAGAGATATGTCCACAGAAAATATTGAGCTTTTCCTGGAAATCTTCCTTAACAAAACTATTTTACTAACCAAGCCATTTGACCAAATCCAAAATTCCTGTGAAAAACTTCTCCTCTTCCTTCTCTGGGTTTGTGTCATCATATCTCAAGTAGCAAACACCATTGTGGGCCTGAGGAGAATTAATAGGAAATAATAAATACATATCAATAACACTGATAATGGTGATGAGATTCATGATGGTAATGAGGATGGGGACTTTAATGACGATCATGACTATAATGGCAATTACATCTTAAAATGTTAAAATAGAAATGACAATGATGATAACATAAACACGAGATTTAGTGCCAGGAGTCTGTTAAATACAACAGATTTCAACAATAACTGGCAGCATACACTCGACCTCACTGTGCCCAGTGGCACAGGTAATGCCTTAACAATGTCCCTCCAAATCACCATGTCTTGAGCTAATCTTGCATCACTCCCCACGTTATATAATGCACATGGCACCATCTTATTCATGACTTCACATATTAACCAACAAACCAAAAAGAACAACCTCACATCACAATAGATCAAAACTGACCAATCACCACAGACTTATACTACTTGAATCTAACAGCAAATATCATCACTGCAAAAACTGACCATCACTTCACCCCATAAACCACACTACTTTTACCACTCAACTAACAAAAACTCTTCATTTCACTCCCATGAAGACTTCCACTAAGGTTGTTGAAACATCAGTAAGCACTACCAAAACATTCCTTCTCCAGACTACCCTTATCTGGACAATTAGACTAAACAATCAGAAAAAGCTATCAGAGCATTCTGAAGTGATACAGTATCACAAACCTTACTCTTGCATAACCAAAGTTGAAGTTGATAGCTTTGACATGACCAATGTGAAGAATGCCATTGGGTTCAGGAGGAAATCTTGTTTGCACCTAGAAAAGTAGAATTCTCAATAAATTTCATGTAATATTTAGCTTGTCAGAAGATACTTTGTAATTATTGTGTAGACACTGCATGTAAACTCAGGAAACACACAAAAAAACACTCACAGAAACAAGAAATTAAAGAAAAATAAACATGGAAGTCTACAAATTAGAATAAAAAATAATAAAGTGTGAGCTGGGAACCATGCTTACATGTATTTTAGAGTACCTATTTTCTAACACCTGAAGATTACAATGTGGGGCTTTTCTCTCTATGTATGATGTTGGACAATCAACAACAACAATTCAGTCAATGTGCAGTTCTTTATTTTTTAAATTTCAGTTCACCTGTGGTGGGTTGCAAGGTTGGTTTTCTTGCAGGAACTTTTGCAGTCTGTCCAAAGACTCTCTGTTGGGTATGCATGTGGCTATGATTCCCAGCAGTGCTAGCAGACGCTGCCGGGGATCTGGTGGTACTTCCTGCTGCGCTTCTTGGTTCCTCGGTCTTTGCTCGTCAGCTACTGGCCCTTCTGCGGACACCTGGGATGCTCCGGTCCTGGCACGTCTGGGAGTTGTCTGCTTTCTTTGTCTGACCCCGCCGGAGCTGCCACTGGGTCTTCGTGTGGGTGTCGCTTCCGCAGCTGTGACTTGCAGTGCCTGTTATAAAAGGGTGAGATATATCTAGTTGGTCATCTAAAACAAGGCCCTGCATGATGAAGAGGATCTTTAAATGCGTGTATTATGGTCATTTGGAGTAATGGGTTCTAAGCTCGTGTACTGACTAACTGACTTGCTCTTAATCACAGGAGAGACCCTACCTGAGTCGTTGTCTGCACAGACACGTAACACTGCAGCAGATTTTCTATGTGCCTTGTCACGGTTTCAGTGTACTCTGGGGTTCCTCGGGCAGGAAGTGGGTCCAGCTCCTCTTCAGCATCCCACCCGACGGAGAGTTCTGACTCATCCGAACTGCTGTCCTCCCCGTCGTCTGGAGCAGAGGCTATCACGAGATCCCAGTGGGAAGAGCTGGCCAGTCTGAACCCCTTTGTCTGTTCGGCTTCCAGGGGCATCATGGTCAGGAAGTCCACTCCAAATCGAAGCATCATTTCCACCAGATGTACAGGCTTGTCTTTCTTGCCCGCATATCTGATTGCTGTCATTTGTACGAGCATCAGTTCTGTCACGGTGAGTCCCAGACCTCGTATCATTTCTTTTGACATGAAAGCAGCCATGTCACCTGCAAGAGAGTCGATGTCAATTGCATGCCCTGAGCACTAGCCCTTCACAAGAACAAATCACTACAAGCTGTTCTTATTATTTTCCTAAGGTGCTGATGGGGAGAATTTGTTTAACAATCAAGAGCTGATCATTTCCTTTATTGTGACTTGGAGGTGATATTGTCTGTAAGAAGAAATGCCAGTCATTTTAAAAGTTCAAAGGGTAAAATAATTTTGGCTAGCCTCAAAACTATAAAAAGTGAAAAATTTTAGTTTGGTGGGATATAACAAGACAGGAGAGGAAAATATGAAGATGAATTATTAGACACATGCCAGAGTATCATGGCTGAAAACGGATTAGATTAACACCGATCACAAACCATGTAATGTGGCCTGTATCCTGATCTACTGTATATTCACCTGGTTTGTGGAACTTGCTTGCCTCTCCAAACAAAGAACTTGTTTCATCATCTCCAGTATCACCATTCAATGAAACCTCTACAGCTGCGGAACGAGACTCTTTTGCTGGCTTTCCCTCTTTGCTGGGCTTGGCCTCCTATGATCAATACATGTAAAGTCCATAACATTAACCCTTAACACCCTAACACCAGTAAGCATATTCTCCATACTGTTTCCAACACATTTCCTAAACAAGAATTTTTTTAACAATCAGAAGCTTCTGGGTCCGGTTGCTCAAAGTCCATTTAGTGCTAACCCAGGGTAAAAGTTTAATCTGAGTTTCTTCATTCACTTTTTTTAAAAGCCTTTTTCAGATAATTACCTTTATTCTTATTTGGGCATCCAATCATCAAATTGTAGACAAAAAGAATAGTACTGAATTTTCTTTTACAGCTTTCAGATCTGAAAGCAAATTTCACACTAACCCTGGGTTACCTTAACCCAGCTTTGAACAACCCAGCACAGATCTTTAGTGGACGATCATTTCCTCTTTTCTCATAACCTTAGTGTTTGATTCTGGGATGATACTATGAGGAGAAATTACATGCTAATCACTCTGAGAGGGTAAAAGGACCAAACTTCAAATCATACAATATTGTTTGAAAAATGGTTACTATATATAAATTATCCTTAACTCTTTAACTCCCAAGATGTCATTAGTAATCCTCCTCACTATCTCCCATACAGTTCTTGTGATTTGTGTTCAGAGAATTTGGTATTGGATCAACTCATAATCCTTTAACTGATATTTTTCTTTATTCTCATCACTTGTTTGCTTGATATGGTATTGATATTGTAAAGAGAAATTCTGTCTTGGTCACTCATGGGAGTTAAAGGGGTAACCCATTGCTCCCTGAGAGTGACTTATAAACCATCTCCATCAATTACTTAATATGCTGCTCATTGTCTGGTTCTGCGCAATTGGTTATATCAAGGTGGAAAATTTAAAATATGGTGCCATAAAGACAAGTCTCTGGTTACGTCACCTTTGTTTTGAAAGCCTGCATGTCTGCTTCAGTTTTAGGTCCAAGCAAATCTAAGATCTGCAAAAAAGTCAAATTACCAACAATAAGTACCAGCCAACAAAAGAGCCATTGTTAAATATTGATACTTACACCTGTGCGCAATCAAACCTTCCAAAAGATAAGTCCATAATATTCAAACATCAATATTTTCCTGTTTTTTTAATATTTTGGAGCATGGTTCTCTCTAACTTTCTTTCAAAAAATGTTCATAATATAGTAGTCTCTACTTGTGACAGTAATCATGGATCTCCTATGTAATATAGGACATTTCCTTCAGTCTAAGGGCAACTTATTCCTGTCAGCAGTGAAGACTTCCTTTGACTCGGTGTGAGTTTGATGTTCCTGGCAAAACTGACAGATGGAGTGACAACTGATGGACATACAGAATGACAGGCAGACAGTAGGACTGATTTATAGCTAGCTATTGTACCACAAACCTGCATATCAATTTCTGCTTTCACAGCTTTTCCATCTGCCCACTTTAACTTCTCTCTCGCCTTTCCTAAAATTCCAAACAAAGTAAAAACAGGTCAAGAGGATTTATAATTTTCAGGGCTTCCAGACAAGTGGAACATTAGAGGGGCCTTATTACAGAGGGGCTTGTTTGAGAGGGGCTTATTAGAGAGGGACTATTTACAGGAGGGAGGCCTTATGAGAGAGAGGACTCATTTGAGAAGGTTCATTGGAGAAAGGGGCTCACTAGACACTGTGAAAGAATAAAGTCTCATTCTAAACTCACCCATTATTATTCCAACATTGAATTTGTAGCGTTTCTTCAACAATTCTTCCTTGTGTTTCTTGATAAGTTCTTCAACCTTGTGGGAAAAAAAGACAAATAAAATCAAACCAAAAGTCCATGAAATAAGTGTTCTCTTAATCCTTAGTATTAGTAATGGTATTATTAACCCTCTACACCCTAACATCAGTAGACATATTCTCCATACTGCTCATCATACATTTCTCAAGGTGCTGACAAGGAGAATTTGTTTAGTAATCAAGAGTTTCTTCTGTTAATGATCATTTCCCTTATTCTCATGACATTATTGTGTGATTCAGGGGTGATATTGTAAGGAGAAATTAGATGCTAGTCACTCTTAGAAGTTAAAGGGTTAAGTTGTTGTACATGTAAGTGATTCTCCCTTTCAACTGATATACAGTACCTTGCAATTCAAGTAAGTTAAGTGAAACTGATGTGAGCTACTTTAAAAGAGTAAATCAAATCTTTCAATTTCTTACTTACACAGTCTTCAATCTGATCAGGTGTGATGTTTACTCCAATACCACAATTTTTTTCAAAGGCAGCCACATCAACAGGCAAAACTGGATTGGCCTTCATAAAATCCACCGCAGCTAAGATAAAATAAAAGTAACACATAATATGAATATTAATTAACTGATTGAACCCAGGGGTAAAATTTATTTATGTCGTCCAATCAGACAAAGGCAGTCTGGAGAAGTACTAATGTTCATATTAGTTCATGATATTTTGACAACCCCAGGGGAAGTCTTCATCTTGTCTCCATTCTGATGATGACCTCCACA